AGGCAGGGAGCCGGGTCACTGGATCCACCCGCCAGAGGCAGGGAGCCCGGTCACTGGATCCACCCCCCCAGAGGCAGGGAGCCGGGTCATTGGATCCAACCGCCAGAGGGAGCCGGGTCACTGGCTGTATGTGACAGAGTTGGAATGTGGGGCAGTTTAGTCACTAGGTCTCAGCACATCTCCAAAGAGAAACTGAAATGGATAATGGGCAAAACGTGCATAAACAGAATAGCTTTCCTTTCTCTCTAAGGTGTTTTTTGCTTGACTGATGGACCAATCCTACATTCTGTCTACCTGCCAAGTGAAATGGGAGCAGAGGAACCAAAATGTCTTTGGACAAGTCACAGGCAACACTGAAGTCAATTAGCATCCTGTTACTAGGTGGTATCATTCAAGTGCAGTTACATGCTGCAGAATAAACGCAACACACATTTCAATGATAAATATTGCACATTAAATGAGAACCATTAGCAATATTACTAAAATATAAATCAAACCTAAATGGATCCAATGGAAAGCTATCAAACAGCCATCCAATATGGATGAGTTGAGAGATAAATTATACTTGAATATTTCATCTGAACTATCAAAATTAAATGTTTAAAGATTTATCTTTTAGTTTTCTTGTGAATCCTGGAACAAAAAGGCATCAGAATTTGACGTCACAATCCAGTCCGTTTGAAGGGACAACTTTTGAGATTCCAACAGTAAGGGAGTGATAAAATGCCAACACAGATATTGCACCTACAAAATTAAGTTATTCTAACGAGAGACATTTTTCTATGAACTACAAAGCTGTAGCACTGTAGGGCTCCTTAATACAGAAGCGCAAAACTGTAGTATTTCAGAATAAATGGAAAAATGTAGATTTTTAAAAAGTGGTCCTTTTAGAAGTGACAGGTGTCAAAATAGAAAATCTTTACAGAGATGTATGTATGTATGGATGTACGTACGTATGTCCAATACATATAAATCACTCAGCGCTCTACATTATAATGTAAGTTACATTAAAAAGAAATTGGAGCTTAAAGCTTCCCTAGCTTCAAAGTTACATTTCATGTTAAGGCTCATAATTTAACTTCAAAAGTCTTATGCAAATGAAGGCTTGTGAATAAATTCTAATACCAAAATCTTTTGTAAGTGATCATATTCCTCAGATAATGCAGCAATTTTGTACTTGAAACAAATACTTGCAAAACTGCAGAAGTAGAAATGTAAACAATAGCAATTCTCAGTTCCTGAGAATTAATGTTGGGAAGTGAATAACTGAGGTATTTCTTCAGCTTAAATACGTCTTTCCTTGACCACTTGGCATGCTGTCATCTTGATGATCCAGCTCATTTAAAATGTACCAGTTCAAAGTCTCTGAACAGTTTATATAACCTCTTCCAGAATCTTGTAAAATTTCTCCTTGAAACTCTCAGTCCTCATCTGAGAGCACTTTTCTTACACCAAGTGGATTATCCTTCCAGTACGAGTGCTGTTTTGCTAAGCCTCTGATCTTCGTGACTGAGTGATGTCCTGTGATTCAACCCCCTGTTAAATTAATGGAAAACATAAACAATTCAGTCACTAACTGAATAGGCCTTTTAAAATGATTACTTTTCACTGCAACAACTTACATTTATATAGTATCTTTAACGTAGTTAAATGACCCAAGATGCATCAAAGGGTCACCACACCTCGGGCATGGGGAAAGGTTGAGAAGGAGAATCCTTCGTGGTAATGTCAGGTAGAGTGGGAATTGAACCAAAACTGTTGGCATCACATTGAATTTCAAACCAACAGTCCAGCCAAATGAGCTTAACCGATCCAGGTCATCAACAGGTAGGCTTTAAGGAGGGTCTTAGAAGGGTTAGAGAGGGTTAGGGAGAGATTCCTGGAGGTCAAGGCATAAAGAATTGTGGGTAAGACTATCAGCAGGGAAGCAAAGTAAATCACAGAAATGCAGGTGGCCACAACTGGAGGCGTACAGAGATCTCAAAGGAAAGCTGGATGATACAGGTAACTGAAGGGCAACACAATGGACAGATCCGAACACAGGGACGAAAATTTTAAATTGAGGCATTGCTGGACTAGGAGCCATCGGTCGTCAACAATCATAGGGGTGGTGACAGGTCAACAGAATTTACTGTGAGTCAGGATACATGCTGTAGAATGGGAATGCCAATAACTAACATACAACAGAATGAATACTTAGACTGAATTTTACCTTAAATGTCAGTAAACAATTGACTTTTGACATTGAGGAGAAATTCAGATTTCAATTAACGTCTCCAGCCTATCTATATCCTGCTATGTCCTCTGGCAATCCTCCTATCTGCATCTCCCTCAATCTTTGCATTGTCCACAAACATACTAATTAGGCCGCCTACATTTTCCACAAAATCATTTTAAATATGTATGTTACAAACAACAGGGGTCCCAGCACTGATTCCTGCGGAACACCACTGGTCACAGACCTCCAGCTAGAAAAACACCCTTCCACCACTATTCTGCCTTCTAAAACCAAGCCTGTTCTGTATCACGCAGACCAGTTCACCAAGGATCCCATGTAACTTCATCTTTTGCGTCAGCCTGACATGAGGGACCTTGACAAAGGCCTTGCTGAAGTTCATATGGGCAACATCTAGTGTCCTGCCCTCATCAATCATCTTTGTCACTTCTTCAAAAGATTCGATCAAGTATGTGAAACAACCTTTCCTGCACAAACCCATGCTGCCTATCTCTAATAAATCCATATTTTTCCAAATGAGAGCAAATCCTATTCCCAAAAAATCTTCAATAATTTCCCTACCACTGACGCAAGGTTTACCAGTCTGTCATTTCCCAGATCATCCCTGTTGCCCTATTTAAACAAAGGAACAATGTTGGCTATTCTCCAGTCCTCTGGAGCCTCTCCTGTGACTAAGCAGGATACAAAGATTTCGCATAAGGCCTCAGCAATTTCCTCACCTGCCTCCCTCAGCATTCTGGGATAGATCCCCCATCAGGTCCTGGGGCTTGCCTACCTTAATGCTTTTCAAAACATCTTCAGAGGAAGGGTCACTGGACCTGAAATGTTAACTCTGCTTTCTCTCCACAGGTGCTGTCAGACCTGCTGAGTTTCTCCAGCCATTTCTGTTTTATTTAGAATATAATGTCCTTTTATTGATATATTTAATAATGGTACCTGTGCAGCTTTAGCAATATAGTTTTAAAAAATTATCACTAAAAATATGCATTTTTAATACTCGTCAAGTCCACCATCTATGATTAAACTATACTGCTTAATTGGCACACCAGTGTTGGAATCTAAGATTTTTATGACATTTGAAAGCTTATAAAACAGACCTCATTATTGTTCCTGCAACTTTAAATTTTAACCATCTCAAAACTGTTTAAAAGTGGGTATAATGAATGATGATTTAGAGGTGGGATAAGCTTTATGGGAAAGGTCAGCTTTCAGTATAGTCTTTCTTACACCATCACAAAACATCACAGAAACGCAATAACTGCTGAATGGTCTGGCATTTGAAATTCCACAATCTTTTGCACTGTGTCGAGAATAAGATGGTTAAATCGATTAGATTCAGAAGCAGTGAGAAAAGAAAGTTGAAACACAAGTTATGAATTTACTTAGAAAAATATAATAAGAAGAAACATAAATGTAAATGAAACTCACTTTTTTCCTTTTGTCTTCAAGCTTCTGGTAGGCTGGAGTGTGAAGATCCTCTATGGACTCTGCAATTGGTTTATTTAATGTTTCTGGAAGCAGGAGACCCAGGAAACCTCCTGACATCCCAGCAATCCCAAACACTATGAACGGCATTGATGGATTCAACGACTTCTGAAAAACAAGAATCCTCACCTCAATGCATGTTTGAACTGATATGACTAAGGAAAGACAGGTACATAGGAACATTCTGTACTACATTTCAGTAAGACCATGGGTGATCCGCAATCAAACGTCTTATGTCCATCTTTACCATCCATCAATTTCAACATTTGAACTGTCAAGTGATCTGGCGTAAACTGCTATTTGAAGAGGAAGATTTCAAACACCTACCACCCTTTTGGAAGAATTTGACAGGGTTCTCTGGAGTGGACTGGGAGTTGGAGTGGATGTGGCTGGGGAATTGAGAGGGGAGTCAGGGGAAACACTAAGCAATTAATCAACCTGCATGTGGTTTCCCCAATACAAGGGTAACCACAGAGAGTAGCAAATACATATTGTGAACTGACTGTAGTACAAGTAAAGCATTGTTCCACACGGAAGGAGAGTTTGAGCCTTTGGATGGTGAGAAGGGATAAGGTAACAGGGCAAGTGCAATGATTCCTGAAATTGCATGGAACTGGTACTTGGGGAGTGGAGTATGGTGTCATGGAAGGAACAAAAGAGGAAATGAGCATGCAGGTACTGCAGCTAAGTAACAAAGTAACTGACATGTTGGTCTTTATTGCTAACAGATCAGAGTACAAGAATAAGGAAGCCTCACAAGAAGAGTTCTGGTGAAACCACACGTTCAATACTGTGCACAGTTTTGGTCTCCATGTCTAACAATGTACTTACTTAGCAGGTAGTACAGTAAAGGTTTACTAGGTTCCTGTGATGAAATGATTGTCATGAAACACTGAGTAAATTTGGTTTATATTTCTGGTGTTTAGAAGAATGAGGGGTGATCTAATTAAAACATACAAGGTTCTAAACAGGCTTGACAGAGTAGACTGAGGGGTTATTTTAGACTGGCTGGGGCATTTAAAACACAGAGGAACAGGCACAGGACGAGAGCTCAAATCATTCAGGACAGAGTTGAGGTGAAGTTTATTTACTCAGAGGGTTGTGAATATTTGGAATTTTCCATCCAGCGATTGTTAATACATCAATAAAAACAGAAAGTGCTGAATAAATCCCAACAGGTCTGGCACCATTCGTGCAGCAAGAAACAAAGTTAATGCTTCAAGTCTGAAGAAGTCACAACAAACTTGAAACACTAACACTATTTCTCTCTCCACAGATGCTGCCAGGTTGGCCAAGTTTCATTTTGTTTTTATTTCAGATTTGCAGAATCTCAGAGTCACAGCCACAGAGCATGGAAACAGACCCTTCATCCATGCCGACCAGTTATCCTAAATTCATCTCATCCAATTTGCAAGCTTTTGGCCCATATCCCTCTCAACCCTTCCTATCTGTGTACCCATTCAATGCCTTTTAAATGTTGTAGTTGTACCAGCATCCACCACTTCCTCTGGCAGCTCGTTTCACACACGCACCACCCTCTGCGTGAAAAAGTTACACCTCAGTTCCCTTATACATCTTTCCCCTTGCTCCTTAAATCTATGCTCTCTAGTTTTGGACTCCCCTACCCTGGGAAAAAGGCCTTGGCTAGTCACCCTGCAGTATTTTACTTTCCTTAATACTCCATCATTTATGATATATTCCAGGCTGTGATAGATCGTTGATACCTCAGTAATAAAGGGATAATGGGAAGGTGGCGGTGGCAAAACGAAGTCTAGGCAGAAGATCAGCCATGCTTGCACTCACATTTACCAAACTGATTCCCGAGATGGCAGGAGTGATGTATGAAGAGAGCATGGATCAGTTAGGACTATGTTCACTGGAGTTTAAAAGAATGAGGTGGGGGACCTCATCGAAACCTATAAAATTGTAATAGGACTAGATAGGGTAAACGCAGGAAGAATGTTCTCAATTACTGATTAGTCCAGAACGAGGGATTATAGTTTAAGGATTCAGGGCAATGCATTTAGGGCTGAGATGAGGAGAAAAATTCTTCACGAGAGGTGAGCCTGCGAAATTCTCTGCCACAGAAAGTGGTTTAGGCCAAACATTGAATGTTCTCAAGAAGGAGCTAAGTATAGTTCTTAGGGGTAAAGCAATCAAACAGTATGGGGCAAAAGTGGGAATAGGGTACTGAGTAGGTTGACTCACCATCATATTGAATGCAGGAACAGGCTGAAAGGGCCAAATGACCTACTCCTGCCCTTATTTTCAAATGTTTCAACATATAGGGCTTCAGATTCAAGTGGCCATCTGAGCTACTCCTGCTCCAAGTTCTCATGTCACAGCAATCCAGATACAGACCACCCCAGCATAATATATAACACTGAAACATGACTTCTACATTCTTGTATCCTAGCACTCCAGATATGAAAGAATTCATTCAACTTTTTAAAATTATTTTCTGCATATGATCATAACATTTTAAAGAGCAGTGTATGAAAACCCTTTTGACCTTCCACTGCTTCTCATTCAACCCTGTTCAACTCTTTTTAGGTTCAAAGTTGATGTCCTCACATTTGTTTCACGTTTATTCCCTTACGTAATCGATCAATTTCTTTGTAATTTTACGCTTTCACCAAGATTGCTTACAATCTGTGCCATCAGCAAATTTCCCAACATCTAAATCATTAACGAACACAGTTGTTTGAGGTCCCAACATAGATCCCTGCAGTATACCATGAGTCAAGAGTGTGTAATGATTGTTGCTGCCCATTATCCCTACTCTGTCTCCTGATGCTCAGCCAAATAGGTAAACAGGTCAATAACTTACCCCCTCTTCCATGAGCTTTCACGCCAGCTTGCAGTTTCTGAGGACAGACTTAACAAATGTTTTGTGCAAATCATATAACTGACATCCTCAAGCAACGATTTCCACTACTTTGACCATATCTTCAAATAATTTAATCAAATTTATTAGGCATGACCTACCCTTTACAAACCTAAGCTGGCTTTCTCTGATGAACTGAAAAGTTTCAGGATGTTCAGTCACCCTAGCCTGAATTACAAGCTGTAGAAATTTCCTGACAACAGATGTTATGCAACTTAGTCTGTTATTTCCTGGTCTGCTTGTCACCTTTCTTAAATAGCAGAATGGTTCCCGAATCAAGATAACTTTGGACAATTACAGATGTTTTTAATCAACTTGTTCAAACATGTTATGACACATCTCTGGAGCAGGTGGGATTTGAACTTAGGCATCTGCAATGTGTTAATATGGAAATGCTGTGTATTAACTGAGTGTGGACACATGCAAGCTCTCGTTGTGATTAAGAGCTGTTGACACCAATTGAAGAAAGGTGAGGTCTGTGTGATGCAATGGTAGTGTCCCTGCCACTGGTCCACAAGGTCCGAATTCATGTCCCAATTGCCCCTGTCCCCAACGTGTGTCACAGCATGTCCAAAAAGATTAATTAAAAACAAACGTAATGGTCTTGCAGTGCAATGGTAGTGGCTCTACCTCTGGGCCAGAAGGTTGGATATGAATTCCACATGCCATGGAGGTATGTCATAGCATGCCCGAATAGACTGATTGAAAATATTTATAAGATCCAGCTCAGGGTCTTGTGATGTAGTGGTAATGTACCAACTTCTGGGCCAGAAGGTCTAGTTTCAACTCCCACCAGCCATGGAAGAGTGTCATGGTATTTCTAATTAAAAATCATGGTAGGAACCAGCTTCCACCCAGTTGGGTTGGTCTGTAAAAGGGCAATGTAATCTTCACTTCTGCTGGAAGAATTATCATGAATAAACCTTTGCAGAAGACAGAATGGCTCTGGTTTGTTCCCTTGCCAGATGGATGTTTACCGCTTTAACACAATGTTCTCACCTACTTCAAGATGAAGGTGGCAGCTGCAACAGTATTGTTTACCAGATCACTTTGTGAGATATAAATGTAAGTAATTCTGATGCTAATGCTTTAAAGGGGGCATTTTTCAAACAGTGCAACAATGAAATATTGCATCAGTGATGTTACAAAAATCTTTACAAAATGAATTAAGCTGGAGATCACAAATAAATATTATTTTTCCTGTAAGAATGAAATCTATAACAATTGCAGAACTAATATACCACAAGCTTTTATCAACTAATTGAAAATTCCTGCCAAACAACACTAGTCAGGGACATATTGTTGAGAGCAGAAAGGGCCTTCAGACATGGTAGCCTAATTAATGAACAACATGGTCATGAACTGAGCATTTTTTTTTAAAAACAATTAAACATTGAGTGGAAGTGATTACAATAAACTAAATCTGCTCTCAATCGTTCAGTATTTCAAGGGCTTAAAGTTCACTTCAGTTAGCAAGTAATTCAAACCACTTGAGACTTCATAATAATTAACTTGTCCTGATTTTAACAGATCTCTAGTAAACAAGAAAACTGCATCAGGTGGTGCACCTCATGCAAGGTCTATGTCACAAATGAATGTGAACACAATACATATCCTTGCTCCTTCACCAAAACAGAATCACGGAAAATTACAGGAGGCTATTCGACCCATTGTGCCTGCAATCTTTGAAAGAGCTATCCAATTTATCCCCCTTGCTTTCTCTTAAAACCCTGCACAATTTTCCTTTCTCACTATTTATCCACTTCTCCTTTCAAAGTTACTAGGGGATCTGGTTCCACTTTCCAGGCAGCATATTTTGGATCTCAACCACTCTCAGGAGAACGCAATTAATGCTGCCTTTTGTTTCTCTTGTCAGTGTCTCCTCATTATCAATTCGTCAGTGGTGGAAACGTTTTTTCCTTATCTATGCTATTAAAGTCCAACACTTCTATCAAATCATACTTCAATCACCTTGGTGTCAACTTGTCAATAGTCTTTCCAATTTTCTGAAATACTGCATCCCTGATGGCATTCTAGTAAATCTCTCCTGCACCATCCTTCCAGCCCTGACATCCTCCCAAAAGTATGGGAACCAGGATTAGACACAACAGCATGGGTCTATTTACTTCAAAAGGAGTTTCGTATGACTGATTGAACACCCATATTCTGAAGTGCCACTGAGCAGGTCCAAGGAGGCTTCTGCATATATAGAAAAGTTAAAACTAACCAGCGATGGAACAAATGGTGCCAGAATCCCACCAACTCTACATGACATTGAGCAGATTCCCAATCCAGCATTCCTGTGTGAAAGAAACCAAATCAGATCAGAACAGGTTTGAACGTCAAACTCTATAACATTCACGAACCAATTGCACATCAGATAGTAGAAGGCACTGCCACCCCCAGGTGCCAAAATCTCATAGCCTAGAGGGCAAGACATCAATTTTGTGTCTTCAGAATTTCACATGATAGAAATCTGATCAGTAATTCATGTTTCTGACCACACGCAGATACCTGTGCCATGTTTCAGACATCTCGACATTGACTTCTAAATTGAACTAGAAGTGAGCTAAACTACGTCCAACAACAAACACATTAAATCGCAAAGTGGATTTTCAGTACTTCAAAATGAGAATGCCTCTCACTGCAGCAACTCTTAAATTCCCTCTTCATGGTCTCAATGTACTTACAATACTTATACTGACACCTCCTGAATTGCTGCAGTCTCAGTCTGGCATCATTCAATTCTTTTATCAGTCCTTCCCCAAAAAAATACACATGAAGAAACTTTAAAGATGGGCTGGTCAACCCAAGAAATTGAATAATCTGGATGAATCAGGCTTCAAAAAAGAAATCTCTCAGTGAAACCTGATTTACAGGAATTATTGTTTGAAAAATTGCTCATAGGAAACCAGGCAAAAATGCTTGTGAAAACAAGAGTTTCATTTTTGCAACTATCAGTTATGCAACTAGTCTCATTTCCTCAGGAGAGCCTGGTTACCTCAACAATTCCTCAGCAAGAAGGTCAAATGTACTTTGTAGTATCAGCTGAAAAGGATTCTCAGTGGAATTAGTGTGCTCAGGGTGGTTGCTGTTTAAATTTCTGTTTTAGCGAAACAATGCTCCAAAACATCAGATTCATGTATGAAAGGGACTACATAAATGCAAGTTTCTCTTTTCAAGTAACAACGGAAAAAAAGCTAAACTTGTGTTGTCACCATAATAGAATTGTATTTACCTGATCACAGTTGGGTAAAGCTCTGCAGTAAAGACATAGACAATATTAAAGGCAGCACTGACAGCTAACTTTCCACACAGTGCTAATGAAGTGACATTCAGCAAGAATCCCATGTCAAGGCCTGCTAAGAAAAAAAAATACATCTTTAGATTATGGGGTAAAGGCAGGCTATACAGAGTTAGGTAACAAATGAGTCATAGTATAATTGAATGGCCAATTGGCTCAAGAGCCAAATGTTTTGCTCTTGTTCTTATGTTCGACACATGACAGCATGTAAACAATGGTCTCCTCTACATTGGGCAGACTGGGTGACTGCTTCGTGAAACATCTCTGCGCTGTTCGTAAAAATGAGTTTCCAGTTGCCTGCCACTTCAAAACACCATCACCTTCCCATGCCAACATTTCAGCATCAAGCCTGGTGCAGTTGTCCAGCAAAGTTCGATGCAAGCTGGAAGAACAACACCTCCATCTTCCACCCAGGTACCTTACAGGCCTCAGCACACAACATTGAGTTTAACAATTTCAGAGCATGAATATCTCCTTCCATATTTGTTACCCATCCCCACACCCCAGGTCCTGTTCTGTATGGGTTGCTCCCAACACAGACAATCCACTTTCAACTGTTCATACTTCCCGTTAGCACCCATTCAGCAGTTTTGTCTCTCTCCTGGCTTACCAGCAGCAATCCCTTAGTCTGCTTCTCCCTCTCTCTTTCTCTCCCTCTCTCTCTGGACACCATCTCCATCAAATTGACTCAGCCCCCCACTCCTCATCATCAGCACATAAACCACTACATGCAAACTGCTTTCAGTTTCGGCAAGGGTTTAGTGGACTCAAAATGTTCATTGTTTTCTCTCCACAGATGGTGCCAGACCTGCTGCATTTCTCCTGTACTTTGTTTTTGTTTCAGATAATAACAACTTTTCAATGTTGCACAATAATACCTTATAGATCAGGTAGGTACTCAGCAAAAAATCCATTAGCAACGGTCTAAAGAGAAACAGATCAATTTAATGTTATATTTATCATGAACAGGGAAATTTTTTTTAAGGTCTTCTTACCTAAATGCCTAGGCAAGAACATGGTGCTTATGCAGGCAACCCCTGCAAATAACAGGAATGCTGCCATTGTTTTGCGTCTTCCTGACCTTGGGGTTAGATTGGAGAGAAAGAGAGAGTAGAATTATATGTCAAAATAAAAGAAGACGCCCAATCACATTACATGGAGAAACTCCTGGAATGGCAAGACACGCACAGGTTTACAGAGTTCTGTATATCATTTAAATAGAAACGCTCTTGTATAACTGTCCATGACACTTGACGTCAAACAACAACTTGTTCAAATCATTCAAATCACGCCATTTGATACAACAGAAAACCAACTACATCTGCCTGAACCTTAGATCAAGCATTCTAACCTTTCATCGGTTAAAATCATTGATGGGCTCACTTGGTAGCAGTCTCACCTCTGGCAAAGGATCTTGGGTCAACTCCTACACCAGAGACTTGAAGTCAAATTCCAGGCTGACACACAATGAAGTGCTACACAGTGAAAGGCATCATCTTTCAATGAGACATCAGGCAAAGGCACTATGTGCCCTGTCGATGTAAAAGATCCCATTACATTATTTCAAAGGGGAGCAGGGAAATTCTGCTCTATGCCCTGGCCAATATTCATCCTTTGACAACAGATTATCTGGGAGTCGTTTGTGGGTTCTCCTTGTGCACCAACTGGCTGCAGCGTTTCCATTGTTAAAACACTTCAAAAGCACGTAATTGCCTGTAAAATGTTTCGGGATGTCCTGAGGCATTGAAAGGTGCTTTATGCGAATGCAATTTCTTCTTTTTCTACCTTATATGTTTCAGACATAGTTATTCCTTGAAAAAGGGAAGCAAAATCACACATAACCTCTGATATCAAGTAAGATGAAGTTGCCATAGTCCTACCAGACCATTGGGCAGCTCTCTCATTGGAGAGAGATGACTGGTGGTGGTTTAACCTGAGGCTCATCACCCCTCAGGTGAGGGGCGAGGTTGAAAAGGAGAGTCCTCACAGCACTTCAGCTGGTGCAGGAATTGAACCCATGCTGTTCACATCACTCTGTACTGCAAATTAGCCTTCTAGCCAAAAAAGCTAAACCAACCTCCTCCGTCTAAGGTACTAGAGTGATATACACTCAAAAGTATTTGAGTACGCATTCCATTGAGTATGTTCTACAACATGCCCTTCCTATCAATCTAATTTACTTATTTTTATAGAACTGTGAATTTTCTTGCCCACATTTCTCTTTCATCCACTGTCCCTGTGGTTACTGAAATACATTGACTCCTGGCCCTCCAATGCAAGCAAATTAAAATTCTCATCCTTCCACAGCATTGCCCATCCCTCTTTCAGTAAGTTCCTCCAGCTGTACAATTTTCTTCCCCCAACAAACCATTCCTCCAACTCCAGCCTTCTGAATCCTCCCCACTAGTTCCACTCAGATCTTGACAATCATGTCTATACGTCCCTGGGACCCACTCTCAGAAATTCCCTCCTTCTGCCTTCCTACTTCCCTCTCCTCCTTTAAACACAATTCTGTGATCAGGGTGTGAAATATTATAAGATGATATTAAAAGGGAAAGGAAGTAGTGACAGGTTTAAAAGCCTCAGAAGTAGATAAATACACAGGCCTGGAGGAGATGTATCCAAGGCTGTTGAGTGAGTCAAGGGAGGAGATATCAAGGGTCGGGCAGTAATTTTCAAATCCTCTCTAGCCACAGCTGAGGCCCAAAGGACAGGGGGAAAGCTAACATGCCCATTATTAAAAAAGGAAGCGGGGTATAGACCAGGAAATTACAGGCCAGTCAGTTTAACCTTGGTGATAAGGTAGTTATTAGAAAGAATTCAGAGGGATAGAATATATCAATATTTGGACTGACATGGATTAACCAGGATAGTCATCACAGACTTGTTAAGGGAGGGTCTTACTTGACAAATTTGATCAAACGTTTTGAGGAAGTATCCAGGAGTGCTGATGACGATAATGTATTTAGATGGACTTTAGCAAGGCTTTTGATAAGGTCCTTCATGGAAGACTGGTCAAGAAAAGTAAGAGCCCATCTGATCCAAGGCAAAGTGGCACATTGAATCCAAAACTGAATGACAGGCAGGAAGCAGAGGGTGATGATACAGAGATATTTCTGTGACTGGACGTCTGTTTCCAATGGTGTTCCACAGGGCCCGGTGCTGGGTACAGGCTATGATCAAGAAGTTCACAAATGACATGAAGATTGATCGCGTGGTAAGAGCGAGGAGGTAAGCTGTAAACTGCGGGAGGATATCAATGGTCAGATGGGCAGAACAGTAGCAAATGGAATTCAACCTGGAAAAGTGTGAGGTAATGCACTTGGGAAGGGCTAACAAGGCAAGGAATGACACTATGACGGTAAGACAATGGAAAGTACTGAAGATCAGAGGGCTTTTGGTATTCATATCCACAGATATTGAAGGTAACAGGTCAAGTACATAAGGTGACTAAGAAAGAATATGGAATTCTTGCCTTTATTAGCCAAGGCATAGAAGGGAGGTTATGCTGGAACTGTATAAAACACTGGTTAGGCCACAACTGGAGTACTGCGTGCAAATTTGGTCACCACATTATAGAGAGAATGTAATCACACTAGAAAGGGTGCAGACGAGAGTTACCAGGATACTGCTGGGGCTGGCAAGTTTCATTTAAGAGGAGAGATTGGGCAGTCTGTTTTCCTTGGAGCAGTGAGGGTTGAAAAGGGACCTGATAGAAGTGTAAAAAGATTATGAAGAGTGCAGGTAAGGGACCTAGGAAGGTACTTTTTCCATATTAGAGGAGTAGGCTTCATGTAGGAGACCGAAGGCTAACAGTTGAGTCTGACATTCACTGCTCAAAAGCGTAGTTGAGTTGGAATCTCTTATAACATTTAAGCAGCTTTTAGAGATTCACTTGCACTGTTACAGCTTCCAGATTTATGTGCCAAGATCTAGAAAATGGGATTCGTGTAGTCAGATCTTTGTTGATGGGCTCAGACAATGATGGCCTCCTTCTGTGCTGTAAACGTCTACAAGTTTATGACTGACATAAGCATTAAATACATGTTATTTATAAACCAAAAATCAACAAAACATAACGTAACATAGAACAAACAGTACAGCACAGGAACATGCCCGTCAGCCCACTACATCTGTGTCAGCCATGATGCCATTCTAAATTAATCCCATTTGCCTGTATATGGTTGGTAGCCTTCTCGTCCCTGCTTGTTCATGTTTTTGCCTAAAGCCCTCTTAAATTTGCTATCGTATCTGCTTGTACCACCTCCCCTGCAGCACATGCCAGGCACCTATCACCCTCTGAAAAAATTTTCAAGCATTTAAATTTTCTACCTCTCACCTTAAGCCTATGCCCCTGGTAATTGAGATTTCCACCCTGGGAAAAATTCCGATTATTCACCCTATCCGTGCCTCTCTTTTACATACTTTTGTCAGGTTACGCCCCAGCTTCTGACACTATAGCAAAAGCAATCCATGTTTGTCCAACTTCCACTTATAACTAACGTGATCCAATCCAGGCATCCTGGTAATGCTTTCTTAAAGTACATGTGGACAACATCCATTGTGCTGCCATCATCAATCATCTTCATAATTTCCTCAAAAAACAAATTTGAGACACAAGACCTCCCCCACATAGAGACATGCTGGCTATCCCTAATAAGTCCATAGTTTCCAAATGTGTGTAAATTGTGTCCCTAAGAATCTTCTCCAATAATTTCCCCACCACTGATGTAAGGCTCACCAGCGTATAACTTCCTGGATTATCCCTGTTGCCCTTCTTAAACAAATAAACAAACAACATCAGCTATTTTCCAGTCTTCAGACCTTGCCTGTGGATAAAGAGGTTACAAAGATCTTTGCCAAGGCCCCAGCAATCACCTTCTTTGCCTGCTTCAGTATCTCATCAGGCTCTGGGGACTTATTTACCATAATGTTTTTCAAGACACCCAAGCACACCTGTTCCTCCTTAATATCAACATGCCCAAGAATATCAACATACCCCTCTTTAAACTTACCATCATCCATTTCCTTCTCCTTGGCGAATACTGATGCAAAGTACCCACTAAGGACATGATCCACTTTCTCCAGCTCTTTCCCTAGTTACCCTCTGGCTCTTAGTATATGTGCGTTAATTGCCTTCAGATTCTCCTTAATCCTACTTCCAAGGACATTTCATGGCCCTTTCTAGCCCTCAAACTTTCTTGTTTAAGTTCTTTTCTGCTTCCTTAATACTCAATGGTCATGTTTGATTTGTTTCCTAAACTTTACATATGGTTCCTTTCTCTTTTTAACTAAACTTCCAACATCTCTTGTCACCTAAAGTTCTCAAATTTTGTCATCCTCACAAAAACATGCTAGTCCTGAATGCTGATTAACTGGCCTTTAAAAGACTTCCACATATGGATTTACTCTCAAACAGCTTCCCCCAATCTAATTTCTGCAGTTCCTGCCTAATACTGTTGTAAATAGCCTTCCTCCAATTTAGCACTTTTAGCTGAGGACCAATCTTATCCTTATCTATAACTATCTTAAAATTTTCAGAATTATGATCACTGTTCCTAAAATGCTCCCCCACTGAAACTTCAATCACTTGGTCAGGCTCATTCCCCAATATAAGGTCTAATATGGATCCTTCCCAGTTAGAATATCTACATATTGTTTCGAGAAACCCTCCTGGATTCACCAAACAGATTCTGCCCCATCTAAGCCCCTGGCACTAAGGCAGTCCCAGTTAATATTGGGGAAGTTAAAATCACCCATTAAAACAACTGCTTTTTTTGCATCTTTCCATGATCTGCTAATATTCCTGTTTCTTTATTTCCCCTAACTATTGGGAGACCTATAGTATAACCCCATCATAGTGTCTGCACCTTTCTTATTCCTAAATTCTACCCACATTGCTTTGCTGGATGAGCCCTTCAAGATGTCCTCTCTTTGTCACAGCTGTGACATTCTCCTTCATCAGTAAGCAACTTCCCTCAACCCTTTTACACTCCTCCCAACGCGCCTGAAACACCTCAACCCTGGCATGTTGACCTGGAATGTCCTGCCCTTCTCTCAACCACATTTCTGACCACAATG